CCATCTTTGTCCGAGAGTCCTCACGGTTAAAACTAAAACATCTAAAACAAGACTTAGTAGAAATCGAGGGCCAACTTTAGCTGATGTACTGATAAAGTTAAGAACAACAGCAGTCACATTGTCTGACATCATCTAAATACAGGTTCTTATGTACATGTACATGTCATGTGTTATGCACATACATGAAGTTTGACATCTAATCTGATAATCTGTTCTTAAAACATAGTTTGTGAAGTGAAGCGGCACAATGCAGTTTGTAATCATGATGAGCAAAATTATGAATATAAATAATAAGATACTTAAGAACACAGGAGAGATGGACATCAGCTTCCAGTTGGTGTCCTCAGGTTTTTACATTACCATCATCCATCTTCAAGCATGACTTCCTTTTCAATCCTGCAAAAATAATTACACACTCAGCCACAAGTACTCAAAGTAATCTCCCTCAGCACACACACACACGCACTACTGTGATTAGAGTCAGACAACAAAGTCGTTCAGATTCTTTATTTGTTTTCTACAAAAATATTTTACATTAGAAAACACAGCTTGAAATATACACAGTCCATTTGGTTTGCAACAACCATTGAACATCTTGACTCAAATATATCTGTATCTATATTTAAACTGTAGGTAAATATATCAGCAACAATAATAAATCTGTTTGCTGCAGAGTGAGGTCTGTGATGGAGGTCACCGCTAGGAGCTGAAACCAATGTTGGAAAATGCTCCACGAGGTATCATCTCATCAAAGCATGACAAACTCACAATATATTCATATTTAATCCAAAAATAAAAAGTAAAACAGTAAACCAAAGCTACCTCTGGTATTGGCTGGGAATGCTCTCGGTGAGAAACGCAGAACTGGGAGTTCATTTAAAGGATTTAAAGCAAGAACAATGGTGCTAAGCAACAGCGGGAGGCTAGGATTTGAACTTTCGAACATTCATTTGTTGTATTTTGCGCACCCCAGAGAACATTTTCACAGCTCACTCTTTGCAAGTCTAAATATCATTCATCGACCTGTCGACATGCCATTCATGTGTCTTTCTGTCAAGATCCCACAAGGCCATTCACCTGTAAACCTAACCATCTATCTATAATACATCCCAAGGTGCTTTGCTCTTGTCTGAAAAGACAGCTGCCAAAGTGTCAGTCAGCTGTCTCACTATGATAACTCACAATGTCACTCTTCAGCCTAGTTTCACTCTATATTTGGCTCTATACCAATCCTGTTTCTACCCTGGGGATTGGCTGACCCAAATTTCAACTGTGGTCATAATAACTGATGTTTTCTGCAGCCAGCCTGAAACTCAGCAGAACCATCTGACAGTTGAGGAATACTGGGAGGCAGTTTGCAAGGAGTTTGCTTGCCAATCTCTGCTCGAAGCCTTCGTATGACACTTTGGTAAACGTACCACTTCTTGCTGAGTAGGATGGGAAAGGTTTCACATAGCTCAAAAGCAATATTTCAGAATTTATCCCTGACTTCAAAATTGTGAGGCCTTAAAAAACAATACAAAATGAGCTTGAACATTTCACAGTTTGTTAAATGAACTAGATCAGGGCTGTTCAACTAAATCGCTCAGTGGGCGACATGAATGCCAAGAGCTCAGGGGCTGGACATCCAGCAGTTATTGTCATAAAGTAAGTTTGTGTTATGGTTTAAAACCTAGTTTTATTTAAAAGAAACCATAGGTGGACCGGACATAGTTCATCCATGGGCCTGATTTGGCCCCCGGTCTGCCAGTTGAATAGCCTGATAACTAGATAATGTCAAAGTAATATGTTTTAAAAGACTGACTAACTGCCCCTTCCCATGTTTGAACCCTGGTATGGGTTGATAAAGTAATACCTGAGCACTGCCACCATAACATGGATATGTCAATTTACCAGTAATTTAAGAGTATTCACATTTAAGTTGATTGACTGTGATCTGACAATTATATCATGAACTTTTACTTGGCCAACAAAGAGCTATTCCTACAGTCTGGCGCTCAATTGTGTTTGTATTTGAAAGTTGCTGCTGTGAACTCACTAGCAGTTAAAGAAGCTTCAGAAGTAAATAAGTACAAAACAAATCAAATCTACCAAACTGGAACATTAGTTAGGGTTAAAATAACAATTTTGCAAGTTTTGAGGTGACTACTGATGGAGAAGTACAGAGAGGGTCAGAAAGACCTCCATTGTGTCTTTGTGGATTTAGAAAAAGCATACGACAGGGTGCCAAGGGAGGAGGTGTGCTATTGCATGAGGAAATCTGGAGTGGCAAAGAAGTATGTTAGACTGGTACAGGACATGTATGAGGACAGCAGGACAGTGGTGAGATGTGCTATACGAGTCACAGATAGCTTCAAGGTGGAGTGCATCAAAGATTGGCTCTGAGTCCCTTCTTGTTTGCTCTGATGATGGACCGACTAGCAGATGAGGTCAGACAGGAATCCCCATGGATTATGATGTTTGCAGATGACATTGTGATCTGTGGTGAGAATAGTGAACTGGTGGAAGAAAACTTGGAGAAGTGGAGGTATATACTGAAAGAAGAGGAATGAAAGTCAGCCGTAGTAAGACAGAGTACTGGTACATGTGTGTGAATGAGGCCAGTGGAACAGTGAGGCTACAAAGAGGTCACAAAGGTGCAGGATTCAAGTACTTGGGGTCCACTGTCCAGGAAAATGGGAAGTGTGGTAAAGAGGTGAAAAAGAGAGTCCAGGCAGGATGGAGAAACTTTTCAGGAGTGATTCATGACAAAAGGGTGTCAGCAAAGTTCGAAGGAAACATTTACAATACAGTGGTGAGATCAGCTATGTTTTATGGTCTAGAGACAGAGACATGGACACAAAGACAGGAGAAAGAACTGGAAGTGGCAGAAATGAAGATGTTGAGGTTCTCCTTAGGAGTGACAAGGCTAGATAAGATTAGGATTGAGATCACCAGAGGTACAGCACAGATTGAAGGACTGGGAGTTAGTTAGAGAGGCCAGACTGACATGGTTTGGGCATGTCTAGAGGAGGGACAGTATGTATATTGGTTGAAGGATGTTAGAAATGCAGCTGCCAGGAAAAACACAAAGAGGAGATACTGTATATGGATGCAGTTAGAGAGGACATGGAGGTAGTTGGAGTGAAAACAGAGGAACAAAGTGACATGGAGGAAGATGACTCGCTATGGTGACCCCTGAACAGGGAAAAGCTGAAAGAAGAAAGAAAAGAAGAAGCAAGTTTTGAGGTGAAAAAAAAATACAATAAGCTTTAGGAAAAAGTCAGAAATTAACATTAAGACAAATCAATTCTACAAATGCCTTGACAATATTTAGGCAATTTTAGAAACAAATATCAGAAGGTTGACATGTCATGATTCACATGCATCCATGATCTTTACCTGATTCTTCCTTTCTGTGTCATGAGGGGTCACTGGTGCCATGTCCAGTAGACACTGTGCAAGAGGCGGGGTGCACGCTGGACAGGCCACAAGCCATTCATGCTCTCACTCACACCTAAGGCCTAACATGCACGTTTTTGGTCTGTGGGAAAAAAACAAAACAAAAACGGAGATAATCCACATGCATGTGCAGAGAACATGCTAACTGTTTCCAGAAAGGTCCCTGGCTAGGATTTGATTCAGTAACCTTCTCACGGAGAGACAGCAGCTCTGACACCTATGTCACAATCCCTCCCTCAAAAAATCAAAATGAATAAAATAAAAAGAAAAACAGTGAGTTTAAATGAACTAATGCAAACTGTTCAAAATTTTCAATCAAAATTACCAAAACTAAATAAAACACCACGTCAAAAGAATGTTCGACACAAAAAAGGATAAAAGTAGTATGGAAAAGAGTAATGAAAACTAAACTGGAACACCCACCACCCTTCATGTAGACAGCCAAAACACAACTTTTTGAAAACAGTGATGTCATACTCCAACTCACAACCCCAAGCCTGTCGTCGTCTTCTTGTTGTGTTTACAGTTTGTACCCAGCAAGCTTTATATTCGTAGTCCAAGCTTTGTTTCCCATTTCTGGTGTCTTTTTGATTTATGTGCGTTACAGCGCCACATACAGACCTAGCATTGTCATTACAACATTTTGTTTTTTTTTCTGCGTTTTTGAGGGGATGAATACACTTCTAGAAATGGCATTGTGTTTATGAGAATATGATTAGAAACAACAAATTAAAGCTTGTTTTGAAGAAAAAAAAAGCATTTCTGTGTGGACAAGATTTGAAACAAAGTGGACTGAATGAGACGTCACAGTAGCTGAACAACAGCAAAGAAAATCAAAGATTTTCATTTTAGGAGTACAGTGTTTTTCGGACTATAAGGCGCACTTAAAATCATTTAATTTACCCAAAAATCAACAGATAGCCTTATAATCAGGTGCGCCTTATTTGTTACTTTTGGTTGTGCTTACTGACCTTGAACCAATTTTATATGGTTATTGTGAATGAATTGAATAAAGTTTGACTTGACTGTTTTGTTTCGCTTAATGCACCGGTGCACCTTATAGTCCGAAAAATACGGTAAACATAAGGAATAAGGATGAGTAAAGAATCAGTCATCTGAAGTGTTTGGTTTCCTAATAGCATTTAAACATACAGAAAAATAAGTTTTTTTCAAGTAAATTGTACTTTTTAATGTAATTTTTTTAAATTTAGTTGTGAATACTCTTAAATTAAAACTGCGAGTCTGAATTTGAAGCACACATTCATAGAACTGAATATGTTTTGGGGAAAAGCTCAAATTCCATCAATCGTTACGCTCCAAATCTTTACAGATAAAATGTTTGAACCGTTACGTTCAGTTAGCCCTACGAGCAATATTGTGAAATAAATAGTGCCTTAGTTTAAAAAGATGAGCAAACAAAACAACAAAAAAAGGAAATAAAAAAAAATCTGCATTCATATAAACAAATTCTTCCAGTTCATTTTGGCTGAGCATCAAGTGGCCCTTCAATGAGTCTTTCTCCTGAACCCAATGTGAGAACTTCACCCCACACTTCAGCATCATAGCAGTTCAGAGCAGAGCATCAGTAACAGCGTCCAGAGTGGGGGCAGCAGCCAGGTGGGAGACGGAGAGAGGTGGGAACCCAAAGGCGAAGCGGTGTCAGAGGTGCAGGAGCACACCTCATACCCGTTCTCTGCGTGGTCCGGGTGGCGGTGCACGTTGACTCTCGTCTCTGTGCTCTCCGAATCTGGAGCGTCCGACTGCATCTCGGTGCAGAGCAGCCAGTCCTTCGCAATGAGGCGAGGGTATCCTGCCTCCACCTCCATGTCACTTCCTGGCACTCGCCAGTACTCCTTCCCCTTGAAGAAATAGGACGAGCCTACAGCGGTTTGAGATAAGAGAGATGATGAGGGTTATACTGTGTTCTGATTGAGTAAAAATAAAACACGAGACAAACTTTCACCCCACAACAACTTGTGGGATTTTATTTGTTTCATTTATTTTTTGGGGGGTCTACTGTGCTGACATGAAACAAGGCAACACTTTCCATAACAAAACTTCAGCAGAAAGGCATTTTAAGTAATGGTAGTGAGATTTAAAGAAAGGTGAGGGGAGGAAAAACAAACTCAAAATGAGTTTACAAAGAAATTAACATTTAAAAGCAGATTTAGGGCCTAGAACTGGAAAAGAAAAAAAAAAATCACAGTTGTAATGAGTGGAAAATGGTCATTATTCCAAGGAAGAAATGCGCTTGTTAGTGTTCATAATGAGCTATTAGCACTAGCCATCAGGTCATAAATCTAGATTTTATGAATGCTTGGAGGTTTTCCATTGAATGTACAGGAATAAACTCTTATCCTTCTGTAAGACATCTCACACTGACAATAGGTGTGTGTGTTTAGGGTTTTCTAATGAACACTGCTAATGAAGTCAGTCTCGGTTTGACACGTGTTTAGGATTCCAGTGACACCTGGATGAGGAACAGACTAATTGGTTTGAGCTCAAATTGAACTTCTTTGTTATGCTTATAATTACCTGGCGTCGCAGAGTTCCTCTTCATCAACAATCCCAATTAAATCCAATATTGACAAAGTTTGGTAAGAATGAGTCTCTGCCTGTTAGAAACCGTCATCGTGAGACTTTGATTTATTGTTGTCAATCTAGCACAGAACACTTTCTCCTTGTAACTTTTCAGTTATTGTGCACCATATTTTTCAGACTATAAGGCACAATTAAAATAATTTAATTTTCTCAAAAATCGACAGCGAGCCTTATAATCTGGTGCGCCGTATGTATTAATTCTGGTTGTGCGTACTGACCTCGAACCAATTTTATGTGGTTATTGTGAATGAGTTGAATAAAGTTTGACTTGTCTGACTGTTTCGTTTCGCTTAATGCGCCTTATAGTCCAAAAAATACAGCACATGTATAATTTTATGGAGGCAGTATGAAAGCACGCCGGTTTTCCATCAAAGCTGGTTAAAAATAATCTATATTAATTTGAACAATATAAAACCATGACTGTGGAAAATGATTATTTATGTAGTTTGGAAATGTCTTATTGCAACTAAAGAACAGCAAATTGCCTTAAACGTGAAGATTTCTTCTCATTAAACGTTCACTTCAAATAACTGACAACATATTCATTCATACGTAGACCTTTCTATATAATAAACACAAATAATCAAAATCATCAATACAGTGCACTTCCAGTTTATTCTAGAACTCTGAAGTCTAAGCGGTGGATGATTGACGTGAAGATGGAGATTGGGGAAAATATCCAAAATTTCGCAAAAAGGCTTTCAGTTCTGCAGAACTCAATGATTTCGCAAGGAGCTTAAATAAGAGTCAGCAGGATAAGTGGAGCTACAGCTCTTTCAGGAGGCAAGAAAAGATGAGGGTATGCTCCTAAAGCATGAAAAGACAATAAAAAAATACCCATTCTTAATCAAGCTTCCTGTTTTTGGCATCATTTGGAGTAAAAATAATTGGAGTAAAATTGAATCTACACATAGTTCCCAATGCAGCTCATTCTACAGTGCTAAAAAGGTGTACACAGTTTATGCTTGTAGTGTGAACATATTTGCATTCTTTTATCAATGTATCCTGTTCCTAAATGCATCATAAAGACAAGAAAAGAAGGCAACCAGACAAAAACCTGACATGAAAATAAGCTCCCACTCCTTTGACTGGGAGTTGCTGCAGGGAATCAAAAGGATGTTATTCCTCCTGAGAGCTTCCTGAATTTAGGACGGAGTGCCTCTTGGAGAAGAGCTATTTTTGAGTATTTAATCAAACCTTCATCAGCCCAATTGACAAAATTCCTTTGTGTTGGCCTTTCCTCCTCTGTACCTGCACTGATTCAGCTATGTTCAGAACAAGAGGGGAGAGACTTCAGCTCATTGCAACACAAAGCAGTAATTGGCCCGAATAATACTTCTGCACAAACCAATGCCATGCACAGCTGACCTCTGCCTTTGAGTGATGTCTAAACAGTCTTTGACTCAAGGTTTACAGATTAAAATGTATCCCACACACAACAATTCAAAATCCTTTATTAATCCCAAAGGGAAATTAAATGTTGTTGTAGCTCATCATCCTGGTTTCATTAAGAGTTGTTATAAATGCTGATGGCTGTGGGCAGGAAGGATCTCTTGAAGTAGTCCATCCTGCAGTGGATCTGAAGGAACTGGTTACAGATGCCGATTCATCCACGGACACAGTGGGCATCTCAGTCCTCCTGGGCAGCAGGACCACCTGAATGTTGGGCAGAACTCCTGAGCGATGGCCACTCCTCTCAGCAGCTTGTTGAGCTCCTCATCATTGCAGACAGCCAACTGCAGGTGCCAGGGGATGTTCATGGTCTTCTTGTTGTCATGAGCCATGTTTCCTGCCAGCTCCAAGGATCTCAGCAGTCAGTCACTCAAGCACCTTCGCCAGGTAGATGGAAATGCATCCACGGCGCCTCCTTTACAACTCATTTAGGATTTAGGGCTGTATTTAAGGTAATATTTGAGCTTTAAAATGTTACTCAGCTGCTCCCGGTTGGAAAAAAACACATTGTTGTCATGGTTACTCATCATAGCAAATGTCCAAAAGTAAAAAGGTTTCAGTAAAAATCCTTCCAGCTGCACAGCATCCAATACCAGAGGAAGTAATTGTCCCAAAAAAATCCATTTACATCCAGAAAAAAAGAGGAGATAAAGTTTTCTAAAGCAATATCCCAGAATGAAAGTAACGGCTACTCCAACATGCAGCCACCTTGAGCAGCGCAATCCTAGAACAATGAAACAAAAATAAAATAAAAAAGTAGTATTCTTTGAGAAGAATAACTGACGCACACCTGTAACAAGTAAGAGACTATTCCAGTGCATATTTTGTATTCTGCACCTTCATTGCTTTGTAAATGCCTCTGAAACAACGTATGCACTATATTATTTGACTCACACCGAGACAAACTAACGCAACCTTTCTTCAGAAACCAGAGACTAAATCCAGCTCTGAGGCTCACATCACTGCAAATGTCACAACCGTGCCGATATGATTTTTTATAGCACAGTTCTTTGGCACAAATCATCACTTTAAACAGTTACACTATAAACTTTACCTCATAGATTTATTTACAATCAATGTACATCATCTGTCTTTACATCTCCTGTAGGCACAGCCTGCCATATTTATGCATCTCTTTAAACTCTTACTAGTTCTATAAAAGCTGTTTTAGATTGCACTAAGCTCTTTGTCTGCTAAGTCTTCAGAGTATTTTGTTTGGACTCATGTTCCACTGAATTTGATACAGCGTATCCCCCCAAAAACTCAATGTACTAATGCTTCAGGCTGGAAAACTGACTCCGAACGTCAATACCAGGATCACAGCAGGTGATCCAAAAAGACATTCGACATCATTACATCAGCGTCTGATTTGAAGTCATGGCCTTCTAATTGTTATGAGTTTGAGAAAAACATAATCCACACATCCCTCATAGCTATATAACTATTTATTACAGTGCTACACATTTTAATATTTTTTAAAGCTGTATTACACCAGTCTGCCCGTGAGATGATAAGCTTATAAAAACAAACCTTGCACACTGTCTGTGGCAGATTCTCCTGACTGGGCTCCATGCATGTAATTCTGTACATCTGTGTAACATGTGAAAGTCTGCCCTTGCAAGTAAAACCAGTTTAAAATCTCCTCTTGCTGTTGAGTGTGGCTTGTTTGAGTAATTAGATGAATAGAGGATATTTTTATCAAACTAAAACACATTTTTTAAACACTGCTATGACTTCCTTTGTATTTTTCTCATTAAGTCTAATTATTTTCATCAATATTATTTTATTAGACTGTGGAGAAGCTGTGAAATAGCTGCAGGTGAACCAATTAGCTTATAAATGAGTTTTTAAACACTTGAAAAGTTTAAGAAAAATACACTTATTAGGCTCTGGTTAAAAAATCTTCATACAGTTTATGCACCTGAAACAATGAATATGACAACTTTTAAAAGAAAATCCTTAGATGAATCAAACTTGAGTCAGTTTTTACTGCAACTCTATAAACATCGTATGGAAACGTCAAGGAAAACATTTAATAATGAATTGTTCTGAATGGCACAGTTTCGATTAGGTTTGTATTTATCGCGGCTTGTTTGGCACAAATTAATAACATCGCATCATAATGGGTAATGTCAAGCAAATGTCAAGTATAATTACACGGGGCTCCCTCCCACACACACACATATATACACACCCCCTCCACACACAAACACACATATATCGTATAGGTTTTATATGAAACATTTTATGGGAGGAATAGGAGCAGAATGTTTTACAGGTACAGATGCCCACTCTCTGTAAGCATCACTGACATGACAGACTGAATCATGACAGGCTCCAGTAACAACCACATCACCTCACCTCCTCCTCTAAAGCTCGCCACTTTTACAAAACCAGCAGGAGCGTATAGGAAGAGAGATGGAAATTTACTGGGGTGTTAAGGAAAAACACACAAAAAATACACTAACACACAAACAACACAAATAAATGTCATGTGTTCAGGGTGATGCCTACAATGCAAATCAGGATGCAGCTGTGTGTCACAAAAGGTGTATCAGCAATTGTCTTTAATTCTTCAGTCTACTTTTATTGAAACTACACACTAATCATTGCCACTGATGGAGTCAACCTAATTCAAGATGGCTGTCATAGCCAACTGATCTTAAAAACACAAAAAATGGCTATAATTCTGTCAGTATGGCAGACATAGGGCTAAGATTTTTTGCAGTAGTAGCTGAGACTGATCCACAAAACATACACCATGTGCCAAAAGATTATGTAAGATATTTTGTCATGATCTACTTGTGTTTTAAACCCTTCCCACACTCTTGCAATATTCTAAACTAATTTTTTTAAACTCTAAATGCTCTAAAAGAGCACCCCATGTCTTGATCTATGCTCTCTTTGCTCTCTCTGCCACCTGCCAGACCTCTCAGCCACGCCCACTTCTCTGCTGCAGAGTGCAGATCATGACATGCTGCAGTAGGGAGTTTCTCGCTGCACATGTGGGCTGCACATAGGTGCAGCAGGTGGTAAATAATTTAAAATAATTTATTTTAAATAAAAAAGAATCCATGCCGATCAACTCATCCATCAATCAGCCAATTGTGTGTCATGTCCAATCTTTCTTTGAAAAAGCGCGAATGAGCGAGCCTGCGAACGTTGAACCGTGAAGTAACGAGGGACTACTGTATTATAATGAAAGCTTGAAAGAATACTTTTACTGCTATGCACAATTTTGCATGCATTGCTTATTATTTCCCAATAGATACTAAACCTCATAACTCAGCTAAAAGAAGGCCCAGTTCTGATTCAATAAATAAAAGGTCACAGTTGGCAGATTGATGCTTGAAAGGGGCCATCAGTTGTTGGTAATGACCTTTCCTGGAAACAATCAACTACTCTGTATTTGATCATATATCATAAAAACTTTTAACCAATTTGTGGTAATTACAGTGGAAAACAATACATCTGTCATCCATCTGGCTGTGAGACTGCCTCCATGATGTTTTTTAATTTTTTTTTTTTTTTTGTGACAAACTTTAGAGACAATTATCATACTCTGGAACCAGCTTAATTGTACACAAACAGAAGGCAGCACCTGTGATGCCACCGTGAAACATTTTTCATGCTCAACAGCTCGGTGACAGCAGATGAGCGCTAAAAAAACAACAGCAGAGTCTTGGCTGTGGCCAGCAGTGAGCCGTAAAACTGCAGGCTGCAGTCTGAGTGATGATGCCATTCACACACCGGAGTCTCTGTGAGCAAACACAAACTGATAAAATTCCCCCGGAAAAAAAAAACAATAAAAAAGCTAACACAGCAAACTGGGGACAGCTGTGGTTTTGATGCTGTTATTTACTGGTTTTGTACATTTAAAACATAACAAATGGAGCAAATTAAATGACAGCATAAAAAAAATCTGTGCTAAGTAGTTATGTAAATTGAGCTCTTAAAAAAAAACAGTTACTTGGTCAGATTTTCCAAACATTGTGCACTAAAAGCATATTTCCCATTAATTCTGGTGATTTATGTGTCCTGCACATTGTGGCCACTGGATAAACCATTATAACATTTGACCCGTAGATTAAAAAAAAAAAATGCCACTGCATCCACCTCGCTGACATTGATCTGATATTTATAACAAACAGTAATGAAATCATTATGATTAAATTAAACAGCTAAAGTCTGGACTGGTGCATTTTGTAAAACTGAGGGGAAACTGCGTGTTTGCTTGAGAACCAGCAGTCTAAAAGGTGCTGAGCATAACAAGAAGCCAGTCCTGGTAGAATTTGCAATTAAAGGTATGCAGGAATATATGCTTTAACATAAATAAGCAAATTAATAAAACAACTGGTTCATAACTTGAATATATGAATAAGAATCTTGCCGTAAACTGGTCAGGAGGCTGCAGTATTTATGATGCGTACACTGGTACGTGTGGGAAGAGGATGTGATTGTGACGATCACAGGTGATGGTGTCTAAAAGGAGTAAAATCCACTTTTGCTTCAGTGCCAAACAAAAAAAAGAGCAGCTTTATTTTCACGTTAGAGACACCGCGGATGGATGAATCCGTTAAACCCGATCAGGACGACTGATGGGTGTGCAGAGGCTAAGGCGACGGTAATGTTCTCCGTTTGGCCTCTTTGATCACATTGGAGAACTTGGCACCTCATATTAGCAATGTTTCTCAAATATATGCCCCTGGAGCTCAGAGGGCCAGCTTGTGTTTTCTCAACAGCCGACACAAGTCGACTTTGTTTATGATGTAAAGGTCAAACACTTTGCGGTAAACTGGCCAAGTATCTGTAATTGGAAAAAGTTTGGGGCCTTTACACTTGAGCAGAGAGTTTTTAAAAGGTCTCTAGGCAAGACAGAAAGCAGGACATTTCATTTCTCAAAACCGCAGCGTGCTTTGGTATTTTATTTGTTTGGGTTGTGTGGCGATGGATTATCTTTTCATACAGCTCTTTGTGCAGGAAAGTCTGTATTTTTGGTCTTACAAACATCCTTCAAAACACTATTTATCGTTAAAGGACTACTATTCCTTGAAGGAATACATCCCCACCTCCTACCAAGTCCCAATTTGAGACTAGATTATTTTATAATAAGACGTGATAGGAGTTTTATGTCAAACCTTGTAAAAGGCATAATGCAGATGTAATGGTTAGAGCATTCATTGTAAACTATTCTCTGCTACTACCACACCAAATACTAGTTCAATATATGCAAAACTGACTGAACTATAACAATTTTTGTGTGTTTTTTGAGGTTATTTGGCTCTGGCAGCCATCTTAATTGGATTGCCTCTAGTCAGTTAGAGATGTTTTTTGGAGAGATGTTTTTTGATTATGATTTTAGATGTTTTTAGAAATGTTTTTCTTTTTTTGGGGGGCCGAGATGGTGTAGGGGCAGGGCAGCCGACCCGGGACCCAAAGGTCCTGGGCTCAATCCCTGGTCATTGCATATCTTGTGGTGTCTCTGAGCAAGACACCTAATCCCGAATTGCTTCCCAGGTGCTTACATAGCTGCCCACTGCTCCACCTGGGTGTATCCCAGGTGCGATGGGTTAAATGCAGAGAGCCAATTTCATCTTTGTATGGGAATATACAATGATGATAACACATAGCACTTTATTTATTATGTACATCTAATGATTACATTCTAAAAGTTTCAGTAAATATTGCCAAGTGGTTTATTTTGGTGACACAAACACACATATACATGTTCATACAAAGACTCAGGCAAAACATTATCATCTGCCTTAGACGTTGGCGGCAGACAATAATAATAAAGAATTGGCCTGGTTTGGGTTACATTTTTAAGAACGTGATCCGCCAGCATCTACTAAAGCCAAAATATCTACCTCAGTCAAAATTCCCCTTTTTGTATTTACTGTGTAGTTTTGGACACCAAGTCAAATTTACTTAAATTTTCTCTATTGTTTCTTTTTTTATTGCTCCCTCAGAAACCACAATGTGTGTGCATCAGTAGTTAGATTTTGATCTGCTTCCTTGCTTGTTTTTTTGTTTTTCACTTACAGAACAAGCAGTTTGTGATTTATAGCCATGCGGGAAAAAAACAATGAACTGAGGTTCTTTAAATTCTAAAGCTCAAGACATCAGGACACAATAATAAAACATAAAAAAAACAATTATCAGGCCTTAAAAGCAGGTAATTGACATTAACTGAAAAACAAATTACACTGACATTGTTTAATTAAAAAGTAAAGTGCCATGTTTTGTCATGCAATGGTGAAATTGGTTCTCTGCATTTAACCCATCACACCTGAGATACACCCAGGTGGAGCAGTGGGCAGCTATGTAAGCACCCGGGGAGCAATTAGAGATTAGATGTCTTGCTCAGAGACATCACGACATAGGGGAATGGCTGGGGATCGAACCTGGGACTTTGTCAGCTGCTCTACCTCTACCCCATCTTGGCACCTACTAACACAAATACACAAAAATATACACAAAAGTACAAAAATACCCTACGAAATAGCACGTAAACAAGCATAAAAAGCAAGCAAAAACATTAAAAGCAGACTATATAGAATTGGTTTCCTCTCCTCTCAAGGAGGAATTAACAAAATGAAATGGCATCTATCAAATGCGATTGTTAACTATTCATCAAGTAAAATGGAGCACTTTTAGAAAATACAAAGTTTAGATTGTGGTCTGTAGTAATAGCAAAAAGTTCAAAAGCTACATTTTAAACCAAGTAGACCAGTTTGCAAGTAAAGTGTTCAAGTTCACCATAATCCAGTTATAGAAAGACTAAAGAAGTATGACTGTTTTTGAAAGATTGCCAAGAGGAAGCTGAATGTCTTTAAAAATAACAAACAAAATGTAGGTTTCACAAATTTGCATTCAAATTAACAAAAATAAAACTCTGAAGCGAGTCCAAAATTAAATCAAGACAATCTATTAAAATGTGGTTGCGTTAGACAAATTAATTAAACAGAAAACAATCAAACAAAAGTTGTGTCGTGGATAGTGGCGTCTTACCATCAGACCACCTCATGGCATCATCCAGTTGTAATGGCAGCCCCTTCCAAAGCATACTTTCTTTAGGGTAACCCAGGTCCATACGTCGGAAGTGGTCATCATAGCGCCAGAAGTGGTTATCTTTGAAGAAGTAGGTTTTATCGTTGTGTAACCAAACAAAAGCTGCATCCACTCCTTCCACTGGTAGGCCAAAGTCACTGATAGGACGTGGGTAACCCTCCTCCACATTATTGTCTTTGAATATCCAGTACCTCTTACCTGAGGATTCAACACAGTCATCACAAATTCATGAACATATGCAATGTACATTCTAAATGCTGAATATAAAACATGTATTTTAACAAATGAGGTAGCAACCATACATGTTCAAAGACTATCTAAGACAAAACTTAGGGGTTTTCACCTTTGAAAAATACTATTTTGTGATCGCCTGGCCTCTCGTACACAGCATCCACACCGTCCAGATTGGGAGGGAGGCCCCTCCAGAAACGATGGATCTGAGCCGGACGAAGAGATACCAGGTGCTTTTCTCGTGTTAGTCTCCAAAAATACTTCCCTTAAATAAAAAAAACAAAGTGATTGTCAAGAGATTCAAATTAACTCAAAGAAACATATATGGGAAAAATCCATAACACAAGAGGTCTCTCTTGTAAATGAGTCCTCGAGGCTCAATGGGATTAACCTGTCTAAATAAAGGTTGAATGAAAAAAAACAACTAGAGTATTTATTATATAGCTTGGCTAATTTCAGTTGACTGATATGAGTTATGGATAATTCTTACAGATAAATTGAAAGATGGATCAAATGAGTTTGGTAGATAGGAGAGAGGAAAAACAGGGTTGGATAAGATAATTTCGGCATGGATCAAAAACAGTATTGCCCTATTGGACTGATCTATTTACAACATATTAGGTCTGATTAATCAAATGGATTTACTTGAACCTGAGGTTCTGCAACGCTCATGTTCATTTGAATGAGTGAGGAAGATTTAAAGGCCCTGCTTATTCCATCCGAAGTTCCAAAATCATCTCTCATTGACATATTTGCAATACGTAAATTATGTCATTTTATTTGCAAAACAGCTTCGCCCAACCGTTCTCGACACAAGCCCTTGGCTGAACTTTATCCTCATAGGTGTATGTGTCGAGTGTTGTGTGACTGGTCAGAAGTTTGTGGGTGTGTTCGTCAATGGGGAAATGCGCTCAGACATTCAGTTGTACGACTCTTCAAACACACTAAATTAGTCAAATGGACAAAAACTCCTGGATGGAGATAGTGTAGACATTCTGTGTGGAGGAGTCTGTCTGCTGAAAAGTGTGGCACTTTCTTCATGATAGATGTGTGGCCAAATGGCAGATGCATGGATGGAGTGGAGACCCTGGCAGGAAGAAACCTGCATGGTGATGTATAGTACAATGTGAGGAATTTCCCAGGTGCTCTGCATCTGTATCTCGTGGACTATGAAGGGTGTGTACGAAAACGAACGTCCCGCAACCACATGACCACGCGTCGACGTTTCTGTTTCTAATGGAGTAATGCCGGGACCTTGAGATGGGAAAGATGTAGCCTAATGAGCTTAGAGGTATGTGAAGAGAGTGAGTTTGATGACTTTTGTCACAACAATAAAACAGGACATCCTTGACAAGATGCTGAGGCACTGTTCCAGTTGAGCTGTGAGCTAGATATGGTCTCTTGCGATGTTCCACAACATTAGGTCCAATACCAGAGCTGCAGTGTGGCTATTTTGGAGCTTTTCAAACAGCTGTGCAGTCTGTACATGACCAAACTGTGATAAATAAACTCAGTGACTGTCCCTAGCCAAGACAAGGGTTTACACCAGTATTGGTAAAAAAAAATGTTCCCACCACCATGACCGTACTTGTACGAAGAATCCATCAATCAAAGAAACTGCTGACCTCTTAGTGGATTGTTTTACACCAGCCTGGTTTCCCATTGAACACCATCTGTGACGAAGGCCCATAGTTTACGTCTCTAAACTGAAATATTTTTGTCCTGTTTTACAAAATACTCATGGCCATGGAAAAGCCCAACCAGTTCGATACTGCTCTGCAGGGTGTCTCCAGGGCCCCAATCTACTTTCTTTGAGCTCTGTGCTGAATAGATCATGCTTACAATGCCTTGAACAATGACCCTACCTGTCTGCCTCTTTGCTCTGCGCTCTCAGTCACTAACCTTCCTTATTTTTGGCATATAAACAAGAAGTGACAGCATCATCAGTCCAAAGACTTAAAACTCCTATTCCAGCTCAGGAGACTGGCACTGCTTTGTTTTGCTCCTCACCCAAAGTGCAAACTTGCCAACAAATGCAAATCCCTGGCTCCTATTAAAAGTTTGGCCTCAAGGAAAAAAAAGTGTTTTTTTTTGGAAATAGAGAAGTAGATTATGCTTCCATGTGTCTTTTTTTTAATTTAATAAACACATCTATAATCAGTCCCTTTGAATTCTGCTTGAAATGCTCCTCTTTACTTTAATTTCATAATTTAAGTTTCAACTCAAGTCCATCTCTTTCATGGTCTTTCTGGCTCTACTCCTTCGTGCATTGGGGGAGTCAGCAGACATCCTGTTCACAGACTGCTTGGTTTATAGTGGGACCTAAAGCCCGGAAGAGCAATCCTACCAGGTCTTTGACTTCTCCCTTAGGTATTTCCATTTCCATGAACTTAATATCTTGGGTCATATGCCAGTAGGCATCTGTAGGAGGGTGATACTAGCTGCTTGCTCTCCAGCCTAAGGACTTTGCTCTCTCTTTTCTTCGATTCTGCCTAATTTTCAGACCTGGTGTGAGAGTGGTGAGCTTCACCTGCAAGTCAGATCCAATCAGCTCTGCTACTCGTATTGGACTCTTTCCACAGCATGTTGCCAGAGAAATGACCCGGCACTTTACCTAATCCCATTCCAACATTTATTGGAAAGCTTTTGTTTTTGATCTGAACAAATACTGGTCTTTCTGGGTTTCAGAAAGCAAACTCATTATTTGTCTTCACACTATTTTGACAAAATATTATTTTTTCTTCACCAAACTTTGTTTTTTTTTTTTTTTTTTTCTTACAATAATTTTTTTTAATTGATATCTCAAGGCCTTCATGTCCTGGATATTGAAGGTTAGGATTTTTAGAAACAGCAAGGAGCCGAGGAACTGATGCTACTATCAATTTGAGCAGGTTAAACATCTTTAAATTGTTGTTCTCCATTTTCCAAAGAGGCCTGTGGCTCCCATTACTGCTAAAGACTGAGACTGTCCTTCATCCAGCTGTTACTTCAGCACATACTGTACAGTATGTAGGTCTAGCTTATGTTGTAAGGCCTACAAATTAACAAGCAGGAGAAAACTATAAAGATTTTACAATTTACAGGCTAATAAATTCAAGCTTTGATTTGCAATGCATACAGCTACTATAAAATTATTGATTTAACAATCTATGCAAATTATCAGTAAATCAAAATGTTTATTCTCAGCAGTATCATGTTGAACACCGCAGCAGATTTTTTTTTTTTTAATGATGAGCTTGCAGATGTATTGTTTGTCCTAATATAGATGTGCAGGTTTGCTTTAAAGTATGTGTAGAACAAGGCTAAAGAGCTTTAATCTGACTTATGAAGAG